AAGCTCTGCTCCTGCCATAACGAGGACTGAGGCTGTTGGGACTTTTTAAATTACAGCTTTTCTATGCTGGAGAGGGACTTTTTACACGGGCGTGTAGTGACAGGATAAGGGGCAATGGCTTTAAACTGAAAGAGGGGAGATTTAGATTAGATATAAGGAAGAAATTTTTTACAATGAAGGTGCTGAGGCACTGGAACAGGTTGCCCAGGGAAGTTGTGGATGCCCCATGCCTGGAAGTGTTCAAGGCCAGGTTGGATGAGGCTTTGGGCAACCTGGTGTAGTGGAAGGTGTCCCTGTCCAAGGCGGGGGGCTTAGAACTAGATGATCTTTCAGATCCCTTCCAACTCAAAACATTCTATGATTCTGTGACTGAATTTCAGCTCTTTAATCAAATTAATTTGTTACAAAAGAAAGTGGAAAGAGGTATCTGCAAGCTGCTGTTACTGTCATGTATGTACAAACAGACATGTGATGTATGTTTGAAAAAGAGTGAAATTCAAAAGGACTTAAGGCCATCTTTGTAACTGAAACCAGGCACGCTGCTCATGCATTTCTCCCATCTCAGTAAGCACTCTTGTTGTTTTATAAGGTTACCTGTGGAAAACTACCTCAAATTCAAATTTGTATGTTTGCATAACTTTATTTACATATGAAAGACTAGAGGCTGTGATATAAACTGATCTGTTGAGGCTCAGAGTGAGGCAGCTGGTATTTAGCAATAAATGTTAATTGTTAAACCCCAGTTCTTGCTAACGGGCCAGGGCTATGTTGCTGTATAGCAATGCCTATATGCCATTTGGTCCTGTGATGATGAACTGTGATTCACTAATGGTATCGTTCGTGGCCTTGCCTTTGGGAGAATCTTTGTTTCGCCCTCTCGAGTTTAATGGCATTTAATGCTGTGATACAAACATATCAGAGAGACTGACAAAAACGGACTTTTGGTAGGAAATTCAGAGGCCTGGGATTTCTCTTGCAAAGAACTTTCAAGCCCCTGCTCACCTCTGATGCAGAAGATACCTTAAAGTCTGTGTCTGTCTGCAACCAGTGACACTGACTTTATAGACTAACTGCGGTTCTCAGTCCTGGCAAAATCAGTCCCAGTGAGACTCCATGCAGAATCTCCAAGCGTTCTCACTGAAGTGGGTCAGCAGAACATGAAGGCGTTTGTGGTGGGATGTCTTTCTCCTTTTTTTTTTTTTTTTTTTTTTAATTCAGTTGTTTTGTAGATAGGTCACTTGAGTGGAGGGCTGGAACAATGTGGTCTTGAATCCTCTCAGCTAGAAGAGAAAATTAAAAGTAGGTCTGCAACATTCAGGCTGAATGTTAAACCACGGAACAATTGAATAAGGGAGGGTGGAACCATCACAAGCAGCTGTGTCTCTTATTGTGTGGGTTGTTTTTTTCTTTTTCTGGCGAATGAAGGAGCTTAGGCAATGATTCCAGCAGAAGGGATTAGAGAGATCAATTCTACCTGAAGAAAGACTTTCCTGCTTTTTAAGGTGAAGTTCCCAAAAGTCGTGATTGACAAGCACGGCTGGTATGCTCGTTTCCTTTGGTTGCAGAGGTGACTGAGCTGAACTCTAAATGAGTTTTAGCTTATAAACCGTTTCCTCTCCAGGACTGTTTGTAGACATTTTCCTCTCCAGGGCTGTTTGTGAGGAGCAGTGCCTCACCAGGGAACTGTCTCGCACATCCTGCATCTGGCCTAACACCCCCCACACACTCCCCATCAGTGTAGATAATAACTGGTAAAGGTTGTCACTGCCCTTACTCTGCTTTAACGTTGTGCCCCGTAAGCTGCTGTGGTTCAGCACCTGATTATCCTTGAGCAACTCGGCTATCTCCGTACTGGGGGCAGTCATTTTGTAAGCTGTGCCGTCCCTACTTGCGAGTTACTAACACCTGTAGAAAGAGCAGTGGTGACTCCTTACTTTCTCTTCAGTATTCCTTGTTGATGAGATTGAGCAGATTCTTACTTGGTACGCTTGTTTTTATAGTTACTAATTTTAGTGCCTAACTCCCCTAGGTGGGGAGAGAGCAGCATCTGTCAATCTGGCAGGCTGTGAGTAGTACAAATGATGTCAAGCATTCTTCCCTGTCACCCAGATACCACGTAGCAGATATTTCATACAACAACATCCAAATGTCAGATAGAATGATGCTTGGTCTAAAAGACTTGAGGGTCTTAAGAGAATTTGTATCACCAGGGTGGTAGCGTCTAAATACTAGGCACTTGGCATGACCTTTGTGGACTGTTTCCTAGCGGCAGGAACGGTTTATATTGCTATTTAAATAACCTTCCCTAACTGCTGGCTCATCTCTAGTTCCACTGTACACACCCCATCGCTTAAGCATAAAAATTGGTTTAGCAGCACTCATTAGCTGTGAAAGGCAAATCTAACTGTTCCTACGTAATCATCACGAGATCAGAAGTGTCATGTAAACTGAGTATTTAAAAATATAAAAAGCATTTGCACAACTTTAACAGGGATGCATTCCAGTCCCAGCAGGCTTCTTTCGGTGAGTAGATAAGAGTTGCAAATTAAAGATACTTGCAGCTGGAAACTTCCTTTCCAAATAACTGCAGGTCACTGTGACATTGGAAAAGGTTGCAAAAAGCTACAGTGAGACCACAATCACTGCACACTACCCCCCTCCCACATACACAAGATTTCCTTGAGAAATCTGCTCAGCTCGATGCTCCACAGCCCCAGCAAGCTTCAAAGCTGTAGGGCTGGAGTCAGTTAAAAGAGGAGTTGACAAGTTTCATGTTAGCGAGATAAGCTCGTGAACTTTGTGATACATTTTTGGAAGAGAATTAAATGGAACATAATTACTTGTAGTTAGTGCTTGCCTGTTTCTTTAACTTATTTAGGGGATGAGGTATTGTATATTTATTAGAACCTGAGATACATGTTGTGCAAATTACAAGTTATAATGCTGTTACTGCTATCCTGTTGGCATACAGGGGAACTTGGCCATGAATCTAAACCCTTCTACTTTGCCTGCCCTCCTCCTCTGCCAGTTTTCAGTTATGCAATTTTCAATTGTCAGAAGACAACAGAACATTTCTTTCAGACTTTCTTTGACTGTTTTTTTGTAACTGATTGAACACAATCTTAGAATTTAACTAACAGTAACTAGTTTCTCTGCTGTAATGTGTAGGTAAGCAAACCGTATCTGTCTTGCTGGTGTTTGTTATTGGTGCTTTTTAGCACATCCATCTATTCCATGGCCTCTTTGCAGAGGTTAGGCAG